ATCTGGAGATAATTTATTTAACTGACCTCATTATCTCCAGACTGATTCTGGCCTGCATATTTATACCTGCCTCTGGAAATTTCCACCACATGCGTCTGACGAAGTGGGTATTCACCCACGAAAGCTTATGCTCCAATACACTGTTAGTCTATAAGGTGCCCCAGGACTCTTTGTTGCTTAAATCTGATAATGATGGGCCAATACAGGTATAGCTTCTATTTACACAAAAATGCCTTTCTAAGGGAAAAAGTGCATGTGTGTTTGGAATAGTAAGAGTTTGCTAGTGTGGCACAGGTTCTTTAACTCAAGTCTAGCAATCTCAGAAAGTTTTCTACAATTATCAGTATTAGCTCTGACCAAGAGTAAACATTCACTGATCTTTCAACCTCATGCTCAAATATCTTGTTTCGAGGCGTCAAAGAGGTACGATAGTTTCATAATTTTATTTTGTCTTCCTTCACTTTTCTGTGTCTCCTCCAGACAGTGGGGGCCCTATCCTTTCCTCCCTTGAGACTGCCTCATAACTATGACTGAGGAGAGATAGGATCATTTGAAGATTTCATCTGTGTCCAATAGTCATTTCCTACCTCTTCCAGATTTCCTTCTCCCCACCCCTCCTCACGCATTAGGACTACACAACATAATTATAACTGGAGCACGCAATCATAGCACCTAAGGCTCCGACTGCACCGCTTTGAGCTAAAGCAGTTTAATCTGGGTCAGTACATGAAGAGGAAGCATCCCCCAACCTTTCCTAGGGACTCTCAGGAAATGGGGCTAGCAATTGGGAGGGCACTCCTCCGAGTTAGCACTGAATAGATACCCCTAGCTTGTCTTAAGGCATTATGCTACTCTCACGTGGGTGCTGGTTTTTGGAAGATGTAAAAAGCCTTAACTATTGTAGTCATTCCACAGCAGGTGTGAGTCCAATAATTATTTTGGTTCGTGTTCTGTCTATTTAAATTCCCCTGGCGGTCAACTGAATAAAATATTCTTCACTTCCTATGCTAAATTGTTGGGTAGAGCTGCTATGTACTGTCAAGTCACCTGCTATGTTACATCTCTGAGGAACTTAACATGATCTAGCTGTACATACTGTAGAGTATGAATGTTTTCAGGTGTTCAAGAATTCTCACTGGTACCTCTGTGTCCAAGCACAGGAAGCTCTTGGCTCCTGTAGATTTGTACTTGGAAACCTTTAGGGGCACTCTGGGATAGAGTAAGTTTGACATGTTGTAAAAAAAAATGGCCATGGGATGTTTGTCATTCATTCTCTTTGCCCACTGGAGCAAGCCTGTCTGCGTCAATAGAGTAAGTAAACTACTACCTCACTGAAACCAAGTCCACAGTGTCGTCGATTTCTTCCAGACATAGTGCTGTCCATGCTTTGCTGGAACTGAGACTCTAGGTCTTCATTCATTTTCTTGTCTTCTTCCCCTGCATGTCCAGTGTACTTGGTTATGGTTCAGTCAAATTAACAAAGACATCTGATTACACAAAATTACCAGATCTTTAGGATTTAGCACTGTATGAAAATATTTAATGCAATTTATTGGGTTGACTATATACGGCACAGTGAATACACCATCACCCTTGTAAAGTTATCTTTACCTGGAGCAATTAATTGTTCAACTCAACAGGCAAGTAAAATACTCTTGTATTGTAGTAAAGGTGGAATGAGATTATCAAGTTTGCCACAGGCTCAATATTGTACCAGGGGTAGTACTATAAACAGGGTTTACTAGAATGTAATACTACCTTGTAAAATCAACCACGTGTCTGCACTAAAACAGTTCATTTTTAACATTACCCCATCCTGCCACTATTGCCATTTTTCATAGCAAGATGAAAATGTTATATTAGAGCAGGAGCTCTCTATATATAAGACATTCATTTGTGCAGCAAGCAGTCTCTACATTGGCAAATCAAGGCACTGCAAACCAATGGTTAAAATGAAGTAGCGCACACATACACAGCAGTAAGTCAGAAGTTCACTACTGGACTTAACTTGCTACATTTTAGATGAACTACCTGTGTCTTGGGCCACTTCATCTCACACATTTGAATTCTTAACAGCATAAAACAGAAGCTACTTAGCTTTCTTTTCACCAGCCCTGGGAAGCAATTTGAAAATTAGCTCTTTCTTATGTCCATTAAATAGAAGCCTATGTGAAAGCAATCCTGCTGCTTATTTTAATAAGTTATTACGTCTATCCAGGTACAGGCTACATTATGAAAAATGCAGAAGAACCCTTGGCCTAGTTTACTGCGAGAGAGAACTAGGGACTCCTAGTTCTACTCCCATCTGCCACTGACTTCCTCCCTTGTAAAATGAGAGAGAATTACTTATCCTTGCTGTGAGAATTAGTATTTGTACGGTACTTTGAAGGTAACTATATACGTTTTTATTATTAAAGGAGGAAAAGACTGCCAACTGTGGGAAACAGGAGGAGAGGAGAAAAGGAAGATTACTTTACATACGAACAGAGGAAGGTGGTTGCTTTGGGCTTTTAGCAAGGAGCAGGCCTCTTGTCAAAACCTAATCACAACTTCCTGCTAGTGATCAATAATAGTACTTAACTCTTTCAGATATCCATCTATCTTTGTACAGTACTTTACAAAGGAGATAAGTATCATCAGTCACTTGCTCAAGGTCACCCAACAAGCCAGTGACAGAACCAGCTATAGAATTCAAGTTTCTCACATCCCAGTCCAGTGCTTTAGCCACTAGACCACATGGCCTAGATCAGCTAAGAAGTTGTTACTACCAAGGCAAATTGGAGAAAAGAAAATGTAGAGGAGTCTGGCAGTTCCTATTCTATACAGCTAAGAGAGGTTTTACCAAAGCTCTTATTCCAAACTTTGTCCAATTTCAAACTTGATAAAGTCAGAGATATCTTGGCTTCTGATAATTAATCAGAGTCTGACTATGGGAAAAAACAGACTTGCAGAGTCACCTACTGATTAGAAATAAGTCAGTTTTGTATATCTTAGGTCCATGGCAATTCATCTCAAAGTTTGCTCAGTTTACAAGAAAAAAATCTTGCTTTGACTATCAGGACTACATAACCAACAGGGACTCTGAAAAGTCAAGCCCAATTCTGATTTATGCACAACATCCTCCATCAAAGGTCATCAGCTGGTAGTGTAACTGGTGATGATGCGTGAAGCATAATACACTGCACCCCCTCAGTCTGCAGCTACAGTCACTGTCTAACAGCAATAAGATTGTTTTGCTTCTATGTCAAGAAAAGGAGACAACATATGTGGACCCCAGTTTTGCAAAGCATTTCAGCATGTGCTTAAATTTAAGCACATGCAGAAATGCTTTGCTGAATCTGGGCAGGAGGAAGTAGACATGTGCAGCAAAACTAGGCCTTTTTCAGTCACTATATTGACTAGTAAGAGAGGATGAGATTATGCCAGTTCCCAGAATCTGACTTGTTTTCTTCAGCTTTAGTCACAAAATTGAAAGCCCCCACTGCAACGGTAGTGAAGGTACAAAGACTCAGCTCTGCCTCTCTAGATCAATGTTAGTTTACAGATTTCTAATTTGTATCAGCTATTAAACTGACCTGTTCTGAAATGAGAAGTTGATCTGTGGTCTCCGATAACAAGGCGGCCAGTGTGTTCTTTCTAAAAGAAAATGCAATTTATTGTGAACTCTGACAGCTCTACCTACATACTAGAATTCTTGGATACACACACCCTACTGCGCACTATCAACAAGCTTTTTTTCAGGGGGGAGAGAACATGTATTAATGAGCTCTTTCACCAGCCAATGACTATCTGTTGACAAAGCTAGCTTCATTTTTACCTTCCACTGATCATATTGGAGGAAACCCTAGGTACCCTCCCAACCCCCAAATCTGTTCCTTTCCTTTTCACTTGCCAGTGTCACTCCAAAGGGATGATTACAACCCCGCTGAAGTTGCAGCAGGATGAGGGAAAATAGGTCACCTGAGCCCAATATTATAATGCACAATAAAGTTTCAAGTTACAACCCAGGTTTTGCCAATTACAGTAATAACTCAACCTTTCTTTGATTCCCCTAGAAATGACTTAGCAGCTCAGAGTCCTCCCCTACACAACTTTATTTTCTGATTGTTTATTTACTTTTTGCTTTTCCTTCTCATTCCCTTACTGGACAGAAGACCACCTGCTGGGCTGAACTGATAGTTCCATAGGGCTGTATGTTCTTTTCCAACGAAACACCCACACAGGATAAGCAAAGATGTGGCCAATGTGCCTTAACCCACAGCCCTGAACGCGAGAGCCAGCACCATCTTCAGTTTCATTAGGAGCCTCTGTGGAAGCACAATCTGCACTTTATGTAAGTCCTTAGGTTAATCCAGGGTCATGCTACCATCCCTAAGAGCACTTAAGTTACTCTGTTAGGGGCAGAGAATAATGACTCCACCAGGTTAGGGAAATACAACATTAGAGAAAAATAATTAGTTTTTTTAAGGGAAGGCAAATTTTAATTTTTGCCTCCAATTTAACTAAAAGCCACCCCATCTAGTTATTGACACCTGTATAAAAGAAAAAAATTGCAACATTAAAAACTGTATTTTAGGCACATATGAAAACATTCAGGCTCCAATACTGGTCTCTCGTGAGATGTGTGTGTGTGTGTATGTATGTATCACTGGGTACCGTCTACATTAATCGCATGAAAAACAAAACTTACAATACACAATGTCCACACATGTAAGTGGATTTAGATTTTGTCCTGCATAAGTAATTAAATTCCAAGCCATCTGATTGTGTTTGCTACTGAGTTACTCCAGTCTGGTTGCTGTTATATTTAGCCTTTGTATCTCATTCATCTGAAGCAAACTTTCACTTGTCTGGAGCCAACAAATTTGGGGGTTTTTTGGTGAGTAAAACATTAGGCTGTTGATTATTCTCATAAGGGTGAGTAAGAAAGTGTTCCTGACTATTTTGCAGGCTGATCTAAAGATATAAGAATCTGGAAAAACAATGAACTAGAATCAGTAATTGCCAGAGGTGAAGTTGGAGCCCTTTTTTACTGCAAAGCAGTGCTACCCAGGCTAACTGTGGAGCAACAGGCCAATATGCTGACATTACATTTTACAGACACTACATAGCAAGTGCTTTGGGGCCTTGAAATAACTGTAGATTATAACTACAACTGTTAAATGCAGAAATCCTGCCAGAACTAAAGTTATGTACAAAGGGATGCACAGATGAATGTAAGAATAATGTTTTAAAGAAAACTTTTACCTTCAAGCAAGCACTATCTTATCAATAACACTAACGCATCTTCACTTCCAAAAAGAACAGAAAACACTATGCAATCACTTTCAATGTGATCAGTGATTTGTTCTGTCATTTTAAAAATCTTTTCCTAATAGCAACTACCCTTTATTTACACGGAATGTTTGGATTTAAATAGCTAATTAACAAAATCTCACCTTTCCTGCTCCCATAAGCCTCAAGAACTTTTGCTTTCTTTCTTCATTACCTAAGTCTACTGCCTCCCAGCTGCTCGATCCCTGCTGGAAGATAGAAAGTAATAAATTATTTAAAAAAAAACAAATAGATCAGTTTCATTTAAAAGCATGTTTATATTAAATAAGATATTCCAAGTTATACATAATTTGAGCATTTTTTCTATGCACTATGATGCAACATTTACAATCATGCAATTTCAATACATGACTAGGGCCCCCCCTGGACCTGATCATAACTCACTCATTCAATAATGTCAACTTTGAGAAGTGTTTTAAGGACATGGGTTTTTTTTTTAAATAAATAGGCTCTAGTGGAGAGGGAGCAGGAAGGACTTTTAATAAACTAAACAGACTTAGATGCAGCCTCAACGGTGGTCAACAGGCACTATAAAAAAATGATCTTGCAACATCAACAAGCCATTGAATACATTTTTAAAATGAAAGAATGGATTCTGACTTCTGGAGCCATTTGCAGAGAGATAACATATCTAGCAAGAATAAACCCATTAAGAACTTGCATAGGGAGGAAGACAGAAAACTGAGCTCCAGCAAATGAAAAATAATCGTACAGTTAACTAACCCACCACCTTTGAATTTGATCAAGGTTCAGGCCTATCAACTTATCAAACAAAATCTTGAAAACGAACAGAGATTTGGGCCTCTTCAGGAGGCATAACAAGCACTGAATGGTACCAAGCCCAGACCAGCGGCTTGCAGGCTGGGCTAGTAGTTGCAACGACCACGTCCATTATACAGCGAGCACGGGGCATTAATGCAGCAAACAGCGCTCCCAGCACGGAGGCACATCCCCTTTGAACCGACTACTCCCCCCGGCTGCTTAGGGAGGGCGGCCTTCACAGCAGGGGCGAGTCCGTTCAAGCGGGACACACGACGGCTCAGCCCAGTGAAAAGCCTCGGGTCCCTCCCCGCCACCAGGCAGCGTTAGAGCCTCGAGAGGGGGACGGGGCCTGGGTCATTTCACTGACCTACAACAAGCCGATCAGCGCCTGCCAGGCGAGAACAGCCACCCCCGCCCTCACCCCGGGGCAAGGGGATAATCTCCCGTCCCCGCGTCGCCCCCGGCCTCCCATGGCCCGGCCCCCGCGCGACTCACATCGGGGGAGGCCGCTCGCTTCATGCCGTGGCGGGGCTGCGTCTCCCTGGCCGAACTCATCTTCCCTCAGGCTGCGGGATCGGCGCTCAGGCCGCGGCCCTTACGTCTTCCTTCGCGGCCTGGCTGGCGGCAACACGGCGGCAGCCCCCGCGAGCAGGTCAATATCCCGGCAGGCGCCAGGCACGCTGGGAGTTGTAGTTCTTCTCTGGTGACTCGCACTGGTGGAGGGCGGGAGAGACTTCACGTCCCAGAATCCTCTGCGACGGGAGAGGGGCCGGTACCGGCCCATGATTGGTCAAGGCGCGAAGTGTCCCGGTCCCCGCGAGTGGTGACGGTAGCGGCGGAGTAGCCAGCGCCTGCTTAATAGCAACACGCCGAGGTTGTGAGGAGCGGGTTCGAGTCCCCGGCACGCTGGCGTAACAAACTCGCCATTTACTCTTTACTAAACCTTCGCCTCCCCCCAGAGGGTAGATACGGCCGCTCGTGGGGCTGCCTGGCCGCGCCCGCTCTTTCTATGGAAAAGTGCTCGACAGGTGCTTGACGCAGAGTCTGAGGCCGGGTGTTCAAAGGGATCACAGCTCCCCCCTGCTGTGGGCACCGCCCCTCTGCGCCGCCCGCCCTGGCGAACCCGGGGAGCCGCTGCCTCCCCTCCCGCTCCGCAGCTGGTGTGATGAGAGGCCCCCGTGATTCCGTGTGCTGTGACTCCCGCCCCAGACTGAGTGCAAGCCTAAAGTCTCCCATCTTGGGCCCAAAGCAGCTAGCCCTTTTCACAACGCCGGCCAGCTTTTCCTAGGCTAGGGTGACCAGACAGCAAGCGTGAAAAATCAGGACGGGGGTGGGGGGTAAGCCTGCGGGGGTGATGGAGTGGTGGGGAAGGGGTATGGGATGGGGAAGCAGGAGCCCAGCATGCGGATCCCCTTGTCAGCAGCTGGGGCTCCCCTAAAAAGAACAGGAGTACTTGTGGCACCTTAGAGACTAACAAATTTATTAGAGCATAAGCTTTCGTGGGCTACAGCCCACTTCTTCGGATGCATATAGAGTGAAACATATATTGAGGAGATATATACACACACATACCTGTGTATGTGGGGCTCCCCTGTTAAGCAGGCCCATTAAACCCTCACCTTGACAAGCCCCACCTCCCCTTCATCTGTACCACCCCGATGAGCCCGCTCAGACACCTCCCCACTGAGCCCCAACCACCTACACCTGGACCTCCACCCAAATAAACCCCACCTCCCCTGCACCCAGACACCCCCGTCCCCTATTGAGCTCCAACCACTTTCACTTGGTTCTCCCTACAGACTCCCATTGCCCCTGCACGTGGAATCTCCCTGTGCATCCAGATCCCGCACTGAGCTGCCTGCACCCAGACTTCCCCACACAGAACCCTCTTACCCCCATCTGGATCCCCCCACACTAAATCCCTCTGCACTTGGATCCTGCTGCCAGGATGAGCCTCCCTGCCCACATCTGGTGTGCCTGGCGCAAAAGGGGCAGGACCCCAGGGTCTTTCTGTGGCAGACATGGCCCTTGTGCTGTGTCAGGGTCAGGTTCAGCCTCACTGCCAAGTCCCTGTCCCAGGGGGGCGGGGAGGCTGCAGGGTATTCTCCCACCTCCATGCAGCCAGTGG